CTAGTTTGGTGCTGCTCAATAGGAATCAATTTTTGCTCAAATAAACTCTTAAAAGTTCAACATGCCTCAGCTTATCTTTTAACACTATTAATTTCATACTAAAGCAGATGTCCAAATTCATCAGCTATTTTCCCTGGCTAGATTATTCTTGGAGGATGAACACTGGCTATCTTTTGAATTATTTCTAATTTCTTAAAGTCTAAAATTCTTAATGGGATGAGTGTATCAATGTTCTGTGTTGCATTTGCTTGTTCATTTAATCAAAATATTCAGGTCATTTTGTCAAGCAACTTTTGCTTTAAGTAATATTTTTACTATTTTTCTGTCCCATTTGTTCAATTCTTTTTCTGAGAAATTACAAGGAGTCTTACTTCAGCTTTGCTTTTGCTTGTGACAAATATCATTCATTTCCTTCACATAATTTTCTTTTATTTCTCAATTATGTCTACTCATTATTCTCAAGTCCTCTGTCCTACATTTTTGAGAGTGCCTCGTTTTATCATACTACAGTCATTTCAGAGTTGAGTTTGTTTTTATTCCTTATTTCTATCCTCAGTTATGCCAGCTCACTTTTTATTTCTGTCTATTATCTTATCTCTAATCCTTTGAAATTGTATTCTTCTTTTTTTGAGGCCTTGATTTTAAAAAGGAATGTATTTTATAGTATTTTTGTATCTTCTTCTGATTCACTCTCTGCTGGCATAGCCGTTTGGGGATGCTTGTTCTTTACCTTCCTTTAGTCTTTCTTGCTCTGTATCTACGTTTTTGTTTATCGTGTTTTTTTCAACTCCATACTTTTTATTCAGTAGTTACTTTTCAGACTGTGTTTTTTTCCTGTGACTATAACTTCCTAAATGAATATTGTGATGATAGAGTCACCGTGTAAGGAAGGGTAGAAGGCTGCTTGAATTTTGGTATATTGTCTCTGAATATATTCTTAACAGCAACAACTGTGAGAGTATGTTTTAACTGGGTTGCAAGAAGTTTACCTGGTCCCCAGTGCTGAACTGTTTGTCCCACATTCTATGGGTAATAATTTGCCATTTATTTTTGTTGAGCTCCCCAGAAATCTGACTTTATGTTTGCTCCGTCTAAGTTAATTTTATTTTATTTCTAAAAAGAACACTGCAGTTAAATATAGAGGACCATGATAAGTGCTAGAGTTCTGTCTGAACCAGTGTTTTTGTAACAGGCAAATTACTTAGCCATTTAGAGACTCCATTTGTGCCATTAAAAATTGGAAAAATAAATTTATTGAACTTGGAGAGTTGTGATACAATTACGATAATGCATTTTAGTATGAAAATCTTAAAAATCAAAGAGGGTACCTTTGTAAAGAATAATAATATAACCAACCATTGGTTAGTTATTCACTCTGAGTCAGTCCCAGTGCCAGGCACAGTGACAAATAGAAAGGTAGATAAGACATGCTCTCTGCACACAAATGAAACCCAATGGGGTCCTAGCGTGGAAGTGTGATGTGCTTCCCAGAGTCCCACTTCAAGATATAGGTGCTCATCCCTCAGCCACTGTGAGGTTCTGCCGCTGACAGTTTACAGTTGAGCCCTAGGCATCAAAGGGAGCCACCTCACACAAATTCTCAACTTCCTCCCCAGGGAAGTCAGCATCCAATGACTGGTCCATGGGGAAATACCAAGGCACATGCCTCTGTTGGAAAATTCCTAAAAGCCTTCCCCTTGCAGAGCTCCTGGACGTTTACCTCTGTGGTAACCACTCCTTCTGCTAAACCCTGCTTCCCTCATTCTTAGTTTTTTCTTTTTTTCCTGAGTCTACAAATCAACTTCCTGCATGCAAACTTCTGTCCTAGAATCTGTTTCTTGAGAAATTGACGTAAAGTAGTCTGAGATATTTATAAACAACGTCCTGATATTTGAGCAACTGGAGACCGGGCAAGAGGAAAGCTGAGTGTGTGCTGAGAACAAAGCCCATGTTGCTCTTACATCCTGCAGACGTCATCCCATCACAGACATCATGTACCATCCAGAAGAAAATAAGTCCCAAGCCATTAGATTTGGGCAATTCTGCTGTTTCTTTTTTTAGGAGCGGGGTCAAGTGCACAAAAGAACATTCATCATAATTCTTGTTTCATTAAGCACTATCACATTTTGCCCTAGACCTACTATTACCCACTTTTATTCTATTTTATATTATTTATTATTTATTTTACTAATACAATGGACACGCAAGGCCTATCAAGCAACCTAATAAATTAAAATTATGAATAATTTATATGGACCTACGTATACTCCTCCAACCAGGCAACCAGTTCTGCTAACTTCATCCCTGATGTGACTCAGCTGCAAAATGTGTATGTGTGTGTGAAAGGATGTATTTAACAAAACAAAAATTAGTTGTGCTTGTTTTTAAATTTATTTTTAAAAGTTATACTCAATGCAGTCTTGTGTGGCTTGTTTCTTACTAAATATTATCTTACCGAGATCCATTCATGTCATAATATGGACCTGCTTTATGTTCAATTTTGCTATTGTATAATATTCCACTGTGTGAATGTAGCATACTTGATTAACTATCTTCTAGTCAATGAATATTTAACTTGATTCCAATTTTCTTCCCTTATTATCAACAGTGCAGCTATGGATATTTTTTTTTTTTTTGAAAGATTGGCACCTGGGCTAACAACTCTTGCCAATCTTCCTTTTTTTTTTTTTTTTTTTAAAGATTGGCACCTGGACTAACAACTGTTGCCAATCTTTTTTTGTTTTTTCCTGCTTTATCTCCCCAAACCCCTCCTGTATACAGCTGTATATCCTAGTCGCAGGTCCTTCTAGTTGTGGGATGTGGGATGCCGCCTCAACATGGCCTGATGAGCGATGCCATGTCTGCGCCTAGGATCCGAACCCTGGGCCGATGCAGTGGAGCGCAAGAACTTAACCACTCGGCCACGGAGCCGGCCCCTCGATATTTTTATACATATCTTCTATTATGTAAATACAAGAATATTTCCTACGTATATTTCTGAGTTAGGTATGCTCACTTTACAAGATAATTTCAATTTGTTTACCAAAGTTATCATACCAATTTACACTCCCACTAGCAACATATATAAATTGCGGTTGATTCACCCTCTTTTGAATGCTTCGCGCACCTCTTTTCAAATGCTCGATATTGTCAAACTGCATAATTTTTGTCAAGGCAATGTGTGCAAGATCATATCTTAGTACCTTCACATCATTTTGATTTATATCATTTGGTTTTTGAGCACTTCCTTTTAAGTGTGTGTGTGTATAGATATATAATTTATATGTATATAAATTTACATATAGTAAATTTACATACATAAAATTTGCATATAATGGTTATATTTAATAACTATATATAAAATTAAGTATATATGCATAAAATTTGATGAAGTCATTTGGTGAATCCATGTTGCACACACATACACATGATGCACCAATCCATTATTGTGTAGTTTAATTTCCCAGATCTTTGGAGACAGATATAGGTTCAATAAAGTAATTTCTAATTTTATCTATTACTACAAGCATGGCTTCCTCATCTGTAAAATAAAGATAATAATAATTGTCTACATTGTTATGGAAGAATCAAACGGTATGATGAGAAAGTAATTAATATATTGACTAGAAAATGTGAAATAATCAATGAAATTTTGCCGTTGATAATGTTGATTTTCCATTTTCTCTGTATGTTATGTACGTCATAAATGAAACTTGTATGTCACGTATTTAAAGTTTGTCTCCATCTCCCTCATATTTTTTTAATGATTTGATGGTTTTACTTTTAAAATGAAATATTTTAAACTTCCTGAAATTTATTCCAATATAGTTTTTTTTTTTTTCTAAGCCCAACATTTCCATGTGGATTTGAAATACCAGGACTATATTTGAAAAAGATACACAAAATACAGCCGAATGGGTAGTTAGTTCTGCTTGGTGTGAAACACTGGGGTTTTTCTAACTCTAATTTTGGAAAGAGTCAATGGTGGGATATAGGAGGGGAATGAAAATGGCTGAGATTTCTTTCTTTGTGTTTCAGAAACTCTTATTCCCTGCAATGCAGGGGAGAATTGAGTCCATTATTTTGCAGCATTATTGAAAATCACTCTCCTTCCCTTGTGGGCTTGCAGAATAGAGAATTTGAGGTCATGTAGTCACTATGTGGCATTATTGATGTAATGCATTCTATTGGACTCTTTCAGCCTAAAAGAAGTCTTATGTTTTTCACTTTCTAACTAATTGCCAGGACCCAAACCCTTAAATAGGTCCAGGGATTTTACAGAGCTGGAAAGACTGTTAATGTTTTCCTTTTAAAAACTGAGTTTGTTGTATTGAGTCTGTTTAGTTCTCCTTAGATAAAGTACACATCAAGGGATAGACATGCCCTGGCATTCTAGAATCTCTGCTCACCTCAGTGACGTAGGGATGCTTTGTAGTTTTAAAGAAAATGAAAAGAATTAATGTGACAACCAATTAGAGGCAGTTTTCATGAACTATTAAAATGTGCTATTTTTCTATGTATTACCCTTAAAACCTCAGTTTCCTCAATTTTAAATGAGTACCTATATATTTATGTAGAGTACGTATGGAGATTAAATGAAAGAAAAGTATGCCAAATTAATAAGATACACGCAATAAATATTAGTTGTTTTTTAATCATTAAATCTTAGCAAGGAATATACTATAAGATATAATGTATCACCCCTAATGTATGAGAAATAGTATATGTCTTCCAGGTGCTTATGACAATCCGCAAATCCCAAATCGTTCTGGATAAAAATATGGTCACTAATATGCCCATGAATATGCATATTACCTTTTTATTTTAAACACAAATTTTGGAAAATCCAAGGTAGAAATAGGCAGGATAAAAAAGTTGAAAGAAGAGTCAATGAATGAATCCAGAGAGAACATAATGGGAGTCCTGGGTATCCCTCATACAGTGACGTTAGGGTCAAGGGTGATGAGGTAAAGAAAAGGGGAGATAAATAACATCATTACCTGGTATCCCTATTCCCAGCACTTTAATCTCTTGTTTGCCCTGTGAGGTTAATGTGATCTGCATGAGAATCTGCTTTCCGTGAACTCAAGGGCCGTCTGTGTCTGCCTGTTTTGTGTTCTCATGGCCTGGTTCATTTCCTGGCGGGTAGTAGGTGCACAGTTTCCTGAATGAGCGAATAATTAAAAGGAAGAATGAGTGAATCAGTGAGTGACTGAGTAAATGGTTGAATTAAAAGACACGTCAGTAGAAGAAGCTCTTATTTAATTTAGTAAGATTAGGAGATCTTATTTGATCTAGTGATGTGAGCAGTTTCCTTCTGAATTTCAGCCTAGAGCCAATGCAACAAGCACAACAAGGAGAAAAGAGAGCAGTCACCTACTTGACTACAAAAGACCTTGTGCAGTGTTAAAACTATTTGATTTTCTTGACTAAGAGTAAACTCACCTCCAAGAAGGAAGTGTGGAAGTGGCCTTGGTGTCTTTGGCTTAAACCCATTTAACCCTGCCTCCCTTTAGAGATGAGATTTCCACTCTTCTATTAAAACTACCAGATCTATTACTGTTTGAAAACTGAAGTAAATATATCTAAGACATGGGAGGAACACGTTTTAAGATCCCAGATACAATTGTTTCAAAGAACCCTGCTGTATGTTTTGCCTTCTACAACTGTGTTTAAATCTTTCATGCTGTTTCCACTTATAATTGTTCTACATGATAGAGGAAAATGGACAGTTGAACAATTACCCTGGATATATATTAAAGCAGACTGTGCATGAAGGGAAAACATAAATGTACTTATGTCCTTAGCCTCAATCACAAAATATCCACTGCACTATAGCTGAAATGCACATCATCAATCATTTTCGATCTTCATCTTCCTTGATCAATGAAATATTTGACACAATTGATAAACCTCTCTTAAATACTCTTTCTTCTATATGCTGAATAATGTAGCTATCATGTAAATTGCTAATAGTTACTTAGGTAACTATCTTTAAGCTTTGTGCCTCAGGACCTTTGCTCATACTATTGTTTTCACTTGGAATAATCTTCCTGCATGTCTACTGTCACATTCTAATCCATCATGCCAAGCTCCACTTAAAGCTCATCTAAAGTGAGAGCTCTGTGTTTAAACTCCTATTGTACTTTATTTTTCTTTCATATGGAACTTTCTATCATTTCACCTTTAGAGGTATTCTGTTCTTGCTTTTCCTATTATATATAATTTTAAGAAATACATTGGGATATTAACTTTGCCTACATCCACACTCAGAAATACAATAATTTATATGTTATAAATATTAAATAAGTATTTTCGTTCAGATTTATTAATTGCGTCAAAATTTACTTGAATCATTATGATTTCAAATTAGCAATAAATAATGAGTATATGAGAGAGTGGGGTACAGGAGAGAAAGAGAGAGTGAGGTTGGTTTGGATAGAAGGAGAAATCCCAAGGAAATATGAGATTGTTAAATCAATTACGAGTCTGGAAAATGGTTAGTTACTTAACAAAACAGAACTTTGGGAAGAGAAATTCGAAGATAGTAAAACAAGAAGAAAGCATGACATGATATCTTATAAGATATAGTTAAGGTGATATGCAAGCAAAACTCACGCACTTAGACCGGGTCATTACAATCAAGTTGTGTCTTGTTTTAGAAGACAGAATGTTAGCTATCCACAGGGAAAAGTGTATCTTATAAATATTAGTGAATGCACTATAGTGTTAAGGTAGACAATAATCAGAGAAATCAAATGGAAGAAAAGGAAGATTTCTAGAAGGTGCAATTATCACCCTTCAAATATGTTTTCTGTTCCACTGAATTTTTTATTTTATTATTTCCCTTGGTCTAGAATGTATTTAAAAAAAAATTATATGCTTGTTTTTATGTTCCCCCTTGACAATTGGCCATATTTGGCAGCAAAAGGAAACCCTTATATGCTATTCAAGAGCAAAAGCTTTTTTTTATAACTCTTGTCAGTTTATATAAAAACTATCAAAGGGAACAGCAGGAATCCTCCTCATGGCAATTAGCGAGTCCATTTGAATACTATGCTTCTGGGAAGTACCTTTTGGGGCCACTCTCCACCTCCATGTCTCTCCTAGATGAATTATACTGTTGGCATCTGTCTAATGGAGCATGAATACAACATATCACAAAGCAATCAAGATACAACTAGAACAAGCTGGTTTGGAATAAAATTGTAAAATTAGGTTGCAATTGAAACTAAAGCACTACTATTTATTCCATGTAGCAGTCTGATGACCTAATGATGTGAATCCAGCTCTGCATTTGGACAATTTTGGAAAGTGACAGAAGCAAACATTCCATTATTGAGTGGAAATTACAGAAAAGATATGCAAGGTCAATGGCAACATGACCAAAAATGTATGCTGAAGCTTTAGCTGCTTCCATTGAAATAAAGAGAAAAAAAAGAAAAAAGAGGCCTGAAATTGGAAAGAGATTTAATTCTGGAGTAAGAGAGTTAGCTTAGTTTAGAGAAATAATATGTGTGGTGATTTTTCATTTACGAATGTACTTGATGTTACTAATTGTGATCGGGTATCTGCGGCTGCACGAACAATACAGCATTCTTCATATGTGAACCACTGATTCAACAAGAGAACATCTCCCTCTTCCTCTCCCCTGACCATCTATTGATGATATAACTTGGCCCATTGGCTGTATTCCATTTTGCAACAGGGCATCAAGAATTACATATACATCAGGAACCTAGATCTGCTGACATTGTGAATGTTTTTCTTTTGAATTTTTTTTTTCAAAGACCACTACTTCTTTGAAAGCTATGTGCTCAAAGTAAAGCAAAAATGCAGAAACTTGTCATCCTTAAGTAAATCATTTCCCTCACTATATTTTGAATGGGTAGAATTGCAATGATTCTCTAAAAGGGTCAACAGGTTCAGCTGAAAAAACACACAGAAATGTTTTATTATTCTCTCCTGCCAAGTGATTTCAAAGGTTAGGTTATCACAGAATGAGGACTGTTTTTTTGGAAATAATTCCTGGAATAATTAGAAAATCTTATTTATTTTTGCTTTTCATTTGATGATTCCCAATTGGTTTTAAAAAAATTTATATGTTGTGCAATAGCAGAATTTAGAAGTTAAGCACCAAAATTTTACTGTTTTGGTGTATTTACTTGACCAAAATTTTGGAGATATCACAAGGACTTTTGGATATTTAATGTAACCTACTAATAGGAATTTTGAGAAGTGTACTGAATCATTATTAAATTAAATTATGGTCAATTTTATAGGTAGAAGGCAGTACTTGTTTAATATACTTTCTAATTATAACAAAAGAACAGTCAATTCTGTCATAACAAATCCTAAATTAGAGTAAAAGTTCATGAATTGTCAATAGCAATCCAAATTTTAGCAAAATAGTTTTGAAATAAACATTTACTGCATGACCCTCCTAAAATTTGATCTGGATCACTTTGTTCCCACTCTCTTTCACCTTTTGGAGAAGAAGAATTAAACAATATAGCAATTCAGAGCTAATTAAAAATAGATACACATTATTTTGGATGCCCCAACCATAACTGAAACCTTTTTTCAATTAGAGTTTCTATAAATTTTATCGAATAATACTTTTTGGTTTTTCACTGTTCATATATCCCCACAGCTGTGAGATTGAACTGCTCCCTCCACATTTATTGATTGCCAACAGTGTTCAAAGCATTATGCTATACATTGATTATGACTAGAAAGCCCTGTGTGGAGTTTGAATCAAATTCTAACTTTGATAAACTGCTAAACTGATAAGTGAAGGCCCTGTCTGCTTTCCTTCAATCCCATACCTTAAACTGTCCATTTGATCATATCACTAAAGCTCATAGCTTCATTTTTCTGATAGAATTTTTATCTTTATACAGTTATAACAGTTGTAAAATTTAAAGGCATAGAATTGTGAATGCATTAGTTAAACTTTATAGCTAAAATTACTTTAAAAAAATGACTGCTTTATGGTGTACAAATTAATCAAGGTGGTTTCTGATGTGGTCAGTGTAATGCATTGGTTAACTGGCAATTTAAGATTATTATTTCAATCACAATCTGATTTGAAAATCCCTTTCTTTCTATTATAGCTGCCTCAAACACTGGAGTAGCCACAACTGGGTTTGGGGAATTTGGGAGGATTAGTATCTAAGCTCTTTATCTGGATAAGTCTGATAAAAGTGGAGAGCGTTTATATGCCGTTCTTAATGCATGCACAGCCACTACGCTCACCAGCATTTTCCAACTCTCATAATTAGTGTTGACCCAGTTGCTTCTCAGAGTAAAAGTAGTTTTTGTTTGTTTGTTTGTTTCCTCAACTCCTTACCAGTAGACGGTGTACACCCTTCTTAATGTCTGTCCCCTTTTTTAACCAAGGGACTTGCAGGGCAGCATACCAACTTCGTCCCCACTTCAGCTAATCTCCTATTCCCCATTCACAGCCACAGTGAAGCTACAAATCTTTCCAGAATCTCAGAAGCCACGAGGATCGTGGGGGGTTCAGGCCTACCCAGGGAGCCTCTTCTATCTTGGTAGTCACTTATTGGTAGTAAATGCTAGCTCAGCATTTGTTAACCTAAAAATATTTGTATTTTGCTTTTTTCCTTGAAAGATAATTTGACGTTCCAAACATGCCAGGCTGACATATTTTTAAAAGATTTTTGGTGTAGTTTTTAAAAAATTTTTTCAGCTTTATTGAAGTATAATTGACAAATAAAATTGTATACATTTAATGTATACAACGTGATGTTTTGACATACAATTACTTTGTGAAATAATTGCAACAATCAGGTTAGCTAGCCCATGCACATCTCACACGGTTACCATTTTTTCTGTGTGTGTAGTGAGAATGCTTACAGTTTACTCTCTTAGCAAATCTCAGGTACACAAACTTACTGTATATGCAAAAGAGAGAGGAAGGGAATGAAAGCATGCCACCATGGAAAATTATCAATTCACAAAGGAAGACAGCATGAGAGGAGGAAAGTAACAAAGGAAGTGCAAAACAGCAAGAAAACAACTAATAACATGGCATTTGAAAGTCCTTACCTACCAATAATTACTTTAAATGAAAATGGATTAAACTCTCATATCAAAAGGCATAGAGTAGTTAAGTGGATAAAAAACAAGACCCAACTATATGCTGCGTACAAGAGATGCATTTCAGCTTTAAGGACATGCATGCACTCAAAGTGAAAGGATGGGAAAAGATATTCCACGCAAGTGGAAACCAAAAGAGAGCAAGAGAAGTTATATTTATGTCAGTCTGACATATTTTTTTCGTTAGCACATTGAGATATTTTCTCTCCCTTTTTCTGGCTTTTATTATTCCTGTGGAAAAGTCTGCTGCTAGTATACATATTATTTTTTTTTAATAGATAATATCTCTTAAATTTCTAGCTGCCATTAACATCTTCGCTTTGGGTTTTGAATTCCGAGGTGACACTCTGATCTTCCTAGGTGTTTTTGGTGGTGGTTGTTGTTTGTTTTTAACATGTCCTACTGGTGATTTTTTGAACTTTGTTAACGTGAGTGTCAATGTCTTTTTTTTTAATTAATTCTTGAGTATTCTCATTCATTATCCCTTAAAATATTGACTCTTCTTTCTCTTTTCATTATTTGGGATTCAAATAAGATAAAAAGTTATTATTCTAATTACTATTTCTTTTCATTGCTTATCCACAGCTTCAGTGGCTCTTTTTCTCTGCCTTTAGAAAAAAACTTTAGATTTACTTTCAGTTTACTAATTCTTTGTTTAGTTGTATTCTTGTTTAAGGTATTAAATAATTCAGTTAATTTTAATTTTCAACAATTATGTATTTATTTCTAGAAGGTCTATTTGGTTGTATCTCAAAATATAGTTGTGATTTTTTATAACCCTACTTTGACATGATTTCTTCTTTGTTTTGATCTCTGAGGATTTCTTTTGGGCCAGTTCAACAATGAATCAAAATGTTTATCTTTAAAAAGATTTTACTTGGCACTTTTATTAATTTTTTTAATTGGGAAGATTGATCAGATTATTTTGCTTACATAATGTTGATAATATAATTTATAAGGGTTAATCGTTCAGCTTTCTAACTCAATAAATGAGTCTCACTCAGGAACCTTCATAACCTTCCCTGTGTAAAGCTTCCTTAATATGGGATGTGGGGATTGGGATGGGGTAGGAGTTAAAAACCAGTCTTACACTTTTGTGACTCTGCACCTAAGCCTGGTATCCTTCAGGCAGTGAGATCATGTAATTTTACCCCAGAGTTTGCTCTCCATGCAGGCTCCTCCCCTCAAAATTGGATGAGATTCAGTCAGATGGAAGAGGGCTCCTTGGTCATCCAGCTATACTTGGGTTCATACTTTGGCTTCCGTTTAGAATTTTGCTATCAAAATTCCCTTTATTCTTGCTCAATAATTAGAATTTTCTGACCCCTTGTGACCCTGTCTATAGACATATATATTAGCAGGTATAAAACCTCAGTTAACTTTAATTTCCTGAAATGTACTGAATATAGAATGTGCTAATGCCTCTGCATTTGAATTATAAAAAGCAGTAAAGCCAAGATAAGAAGATGAAAGATCATACATGATGAACCTGGATGGGGCCAATGAGTTCTCTTGCTCCCACTTCCTCTGCTATTGCTTCTCAGACCTGAGCTGCTGCCACTTCGAGTAGTAAAACCAGAGACATTAATGTGGATGAAGCAATGGGCTCAGAACGCTGTGATTTCTCATCAATTTGGTCCAACTAGACAGAGTGAAAAAGAGTTGTCTTGTATCTCGCTAGAATTCTACCTTGAACTTTTAGGCCAATTTCTGTGTAAGAAACAACAGTCCTTTGTTTACTTTTGTCTTCTAAACCTGTGTTATCCCAAACACCTCCAGGGAAATAGTTTGGCTGCTCAAGAACGGGATTTATAGTATCGAGAATGCTGTGAATCCATCTTCTACTTTTCTGTCTCTAGATAACTAGATGCAATACATTTTAAAAGCCGTTTCACTGGAAATGTCTAGAGCTCACCTTGGGAAATCAGGGATAGTGTATGATAATTTGTTTGTCACGCTCCATCCCATAAATATCGCCCCATTGATTCAACACATGAAGCCGAGTTTTCTCTCACTTGAAATGAATAGAAAACAGATAATAAAAATTGATCCATCAAGTAAACACAATAGAACCACAGTTAGAGAAAGAAAGAATTATCTGTGAAAGTTTGTCTTTCATTTTTAATTCGGTAAACGCCTTGTAGGGGAGAAAGACATTTCCTCTCCCCAAATGGGGGTTCGTCTGGCCGGAGAACGAATTAAATTCACATGAGACAGACTAGCAAGAGAAAATTAAACAAAGCTTTATGAGGAACCATGGCCCGGGGCCTTTCTTCCCGAAGGAAGAAAAGGCACCGAAGAAGTGGGGTGCACAGAGTGGTTATATAGCCCCCAAATGGGGTGTTTCACATGTGATTGAAAAGTCCCTTTTACAGTAGTCACGAGGCTGCTCTGTCAGCACAGCGCTTGATGGAAATGGCAGATAGGTCTGCTGTCTCAGTGAGCGCCACAGGGTGGCAGGTGTGTTGCCTCGGGCTGGGGGGGGGGGGGGGGGGGTCACAGATGAGCGCCTCAATTGGTTCCCAGCCTAAAGAAAGATGCTTAATCTTTAAGGAGATGCCAACGTTGGGAGGGGGAGGGAAGTCAGTTACAGGAGGTTACCAGACAAGCACAATAAAATGCAGATTTTAAGTCCTTGCCTTTAGTATTGATTAAGAGTTTTTAGAGAGAAGGTCATCTCCTTTCTTCTTGCTGGTACAGAGAGGGAGGCAGTTTTTACAGATAGAGGTTTACCCTACAAACGTAAATGTGTCCTAAGGAAGAGCAAGTTCCATTCCTCAGAGCCTCCTTCCCTGTCCCAGTTTATCAAAAGTAATCAGCCTCAAATAATCCTGATGCCAAAGAGACATATCTTGGGGCGGCCATCCTCAGGTCCCCACAGCCTCTTTCCCTAGGAGGCAGCTGTGATATTACACAGTAAGGCACATTTTGGTAGGCCTTCAGTGCTAAAGGGAGAGTAACAGAGGCTGCAGGAGGTAGGACTGCACAGTGCTTAGTGTTCAGCCCAGGGTGTAGAACATAATCACCTGGGGAGCTTTACAAAAAACAGTTATATTGGTCCCATCCCCAGAGAATCTGCTTTAGTTTATCTTGGGGTGCTGATTGAAGACAGCTAGAATCATGAAAGCTCTAATATGCAGACAGGATTGAGAATAACCAGTATTATAATCAGAGGCCTCTGTTTTACTTACATTGAATCCCCTGATCCTAACATCCTGTTTGGTGTGGAGTAAGTGTTCAATAAACATGCAGTGTGAATAAAGTGAGTAACATGACGGTGAAATTTGTTCACAAATTGGCAAATACTGATTGTGGGTCAGAGGGAAAGCAGAGAAGCCCTGGGAGCTGCATACACAAGCAGAGTCGTGCCTTTTCGTAGGCACTTTTCTACAGTGATCATGAGAAATATTAGTGACAGTGCTGAAGACAGGAGAAAGCACTCTACTTCATACAGTTTAGGTAGGAGAGAAAAAAGCAATAAGCCATTGAGGGATGGACAGCAAACTGTATTGCCCACAGGGCACACATGAAGGCCATTTGTTAGCTTGGAAATGTGGAAAGGAGAGAAAGCCCTTTACCCCTGACACAGGGGCAAAAACACACTAAAGGTCTTCTATAGATAAAGTTTTCCTTTTTTTTTTTTTCCCTAAGGAAGATTAGCCCTGAGCTAACTATTGCCAATCCTCCTCTTTTTGCTGAGGAAGACTGGCCCTGAGCTAACATCTGTGCCCATCTTCCTCTACTTTATATGTGGGACGCCTAGCACAGTGTGGCGTGCCAAACGATGCCATGTCTGCACACAGGATCCGAACTGGTGAACCCTGGGCCTCCAAGAAGCGGAACGTGCGAACTTAACCACTGCACCACTGGGCTGGCCCCTAGAGTTTTCCTTTCACTGAAAGAAGGAGTGGATCGTTGAGACCAGTCCAGAGGCCCAGAAACACAGTAGCTGCCTAGGAGAGAGAATAACAGAGAAAAGTCCTTCGCCATGACCAGGCTAGCAAGAAAGTAGTAACAAGCACCAACAGTCTGCTGCTCAGAGAGAAATATCTGCCTAGATAGAGACCCATTTTGAGGTACAGGTGCAGAGAAGGTCAAAGCAGGGAAAGGTCATTAAGAAAAATTCTTCAGCAAACCAGCCACCACCCTAAGGATGAGACAACAGTGGAGGAATTTGAAACTGATGGTACACTGAAACAACAGCAAAACCCACATTCAATTCCATTCTTGAATAGATGAATTCAACTCCTCCTCAGTAACATACTAGTAGAATATGCATACACATTTCCAGTTACAAATACAAAGAAGAAATTCCACAGTCAGATATGATCTAGATGTTGAAACAGACAGGAAATATAAAATAACGAGGATGAATGTGTTAAAGCTGTAGTAGAAAAGGTGTCCAGCATGCAAGAGCAGATGGGGAATTTCACAGAAAAATAGAAACTATAAGCAAGAATCAAATGGAAAAGCAAGAAGAATAGTAGCAGAGATGACAAGTGCCTTTGATGAGCTGATGGGTAGACTTGACACAGCTGAAGAAAGAATCAGTGAAGATGGGTCAATAGAAATCACCCACACTAAAACACCAAGAGAAAAAGAACAAAGAAAAATGCAAACAAAATCAGAATCTCTAAGACACATGGAAAAATTTCAAACAATTTAACATAGCTATAAATGGAGTCCTTGAAGCAGAAGAGAAAATGTATTGGAAAAAAAATTAGAGGACATAGGGTTGAGATATATCCAAAAATAATGAATGAAATCAAACCATGGGTCTAGAAAGCTAAGTGAATTCAAGTGGATAAATATCAACACACATGCACACACATACCATATTCATACTACTGCATATCAAAGATAAAGAGAAAATCATGAAAGCGGTTTGAGAAGAAAAGATATATAAAAAAGAATAATGTTTAAGTCGTAAGATAATGGATTGATATCTCCAAAATTCTGAAACAACAATAAAGTCACTCCCAACATCGAATTCTATGTATAATGAAAGTATATTTCACCAAAAATGTAGAAATAGACTTTTTTTTCAGACAAACTAAAGCAGAGGGAATTCATTACCAAGAGATCTGCATGGCAAAAATATTAGAAGAAAGTCATTAGGCAGAACTTATAAAATGCTAAACAGAAATGTGAATCTCCAAAAGGAAATGATGAGCAACAGAAAGGGTTAAAATAAAGGTAGATATAAAACACATTTTCTTATTTCTAATCTCTCCAAATGAAAATTGAATCTTTAAAGAAAAAATAGTATGCATGCGTTGTGTGAAATGTATGAAAAGTAAAGTGTATAACAGCAATAGCACAAAAGATGGGAAGGAGAGATTGGGAATATGCTGTTGTAGTTTATATATTACATGTGAAGAAGTATAATACTCACTTCAATCTGTACTTTGATAAATACAGAAATATATTAATACTGTAGAGAAAAGGAACAGAAAGAGAATCCCAAAGTCCATGAAAAGAGGGAAAAAAGAAAAATATGGAGAAAATAGTATACAGCTCTCAAGATAAATTTTAATCTAATCATTTTAAAAATTGCATTAAAAGTGAGTGATACATTCACACTAAATTACATAAGAAAATAGGTCTTGATTATATTCTGTCTACAAGAATCACATTTTAAATAAAAATACATATATCGATTGAAAATTAAATTATTGAAAAAATATACATCATGCAACATTAATCAAAAGTAAGCTTTAGTGGCTACATTAAATGAGGAAAGATGGACTCTAATAAGGAATATTATAAGAGAAAAAAGTCCACATATCTGCAAAGCAGATCCCAGGTCCAGATAGTTACTCTGGTGAATACTCTCAAATATTTAAGCAAGAAATAATACCCATTGTTAACAAAATTTACAAAAATAGAAGAGAACACTTCCCAGCTAATTTTATGAGGCCAATATTACCCCGACCCCAGACATAGACACACCATTCCTCAGAAAACTCATCGTAGCAATAAGGAAGAAAAGCCTTATGAAGACTTAAAAGGAAAAAATAAAATTACCTCTATTCTCAGACCATACGATTGTCTACACAGAACATCTCAATAATTTATTGTTACTAAATCTAATAAATAAATTGAGCATTCTCACAGAATACAACATCAATATACAAAACCTATTGTGTTTCTATAAACCAGCAATACACAACTGCAAACTGAAAGTTAAAAAAAAGACCATTTAAAATAACATCAAAAATATAGACAAAAATCTTAAAAAATATATATGTG